CATGTTGTTGAGGATCTGTGGGGTTTATTCTTCCAAAAATATAATAGTAAACGAGGGCTAAGTGCCTTACTCAAGGGCACACTAGTAGTGGTGTTCCAGGCGGGATTTGAACTCGCAACCTTCCGATCATCAGCCCACCTCACTATCCATTAGACCACCCAAAAAAGAGAAAATGAGAGGGGAACAGAGGAGATGGTTATTTGAACAACAATCACTGTGATTTCATACTAAGCAGTTGTTGAGGAGGAATATCTCCCCTTGCTTTTCTTGAGGTTTGACGGTTTTTTGGGATTTCTTTCCGTATCTGAAAAAGGATAGCAGGTGCCATATGTTGGAAAAAGTATGTTGGAAAAAAACTTCATTTTGGATTGCATTCATATTTGATGTTAAGGAGATGGGACAGCAAAAATCCACATAAAGAAGAAAGGAATGAAAAGAGGAAGAGAGGAATCAAGGGGATAGCTTTGAGATTTTGACTTCAGGCATTTGGAATTGATGAGGAGGAAATCCCTGACCGCCTTAAGAGGCTTCCTCTGAGGGTCTGTGAAAACACATGGGGCTGCCGTGGATCTTCGGCTCACGACTGATAGAAAACAGATTCCCCAGCTGTACAGTTCAAAAGTTATGTTCCAGAACGACACACTTTAAACGTCTCGAGGGGGATACCGCAACTTGTCACTTGAAAAATAAAAGATGACTTATTTTATGTAGTTTCTCAATAGTTTTTTTTACCACTGTTGTAGGAATGGTTCCGATTTTTCACTATAAAATGTCAAAAGTCAATGACAAGTGCCAATTGGAAGTTTCCAGAGACCAAAGGGACGCCACAAGGCGATCTTTTACTTTCTGACTACGCAAAGTGTTCCCAATGGCTTACATTGCGTCATCAGAAGGTGTACGCAAAGGGTTGCATGATGTCTGCAGTTGTTCGAGAATATATTCAACCATTTAAACGACAATTAATTTGATTTTCTTTGTCTTCTTTGTCTTTGCAGTGACTTACAGTGGGGTCAGCTGTCCAGACCTTACTCCTCCACGGACCGAAGCAGTTCCCTGGGCTCCATGGAAAGCTTGGACACACCAACACCAACACCGCAGACATACTCTGACTCCCATATTTCCCCCGTCGACCCCACCCTCTTCAACAACAAAAGAGACTCTGCCTACAGCTCATTCTCCGCCAGCTCAAACACATCTGACTACGCAACGGTGCCACTAAGGCCCGGTGAAGCCTGCTCCATGGATAACCTCCTGCAGGGGCTGGGGCCATCTTGTCAAGGCTACCCTGTCGGTGATACCTCGACCCTGGGGAGTTCATCTAGCGAGGCCCCGGATGACTTGCAGCTTATTGTTCTCAAGTCCAGGTCGCTCACCAGGCCGAGATCTAAAAACGTTGAGATAAAAGAGAGGCCTTCCTCCTGTTGTTATGAGGAAGAGCGGAGGGGAGGAGACTTTGAGATCATAAGAAATGGAAAAAAAGCAGCTGAGAGAAAGATGAACCCTCCTCAGCCTCCGACCAGGACGGACAGTTTTAGGGCAACTCGGAGTCGCCCGAACGCCGCCAACAAACGTTGCGTCTCTGCTCCCATTGACATTTCCAGCGTTCCCTTTTACCAGGAAGTAAAGTCCTCTCTGAATGTTGAATCAGGAATTCAAAACGGCTTCCCTGCACCGGAGGAATGTGGTGAGAATTTGAAAGAGGATACCCCGAACTCGCACTATATCCAAAGACAGACTGAAGAAATTAGACATATCAGATGTGATATCAGTGCTAATAAAGACTACAATACAGAAACCACCTCAGACACGTCCTCCCCAGTCCCCATGACTTCTCTTTGTCCTTCCTCCTTACCTGCCGAATCCTCCATGGAGGTTCAAGAGCGATCTCGTATCACGCACTCAGAGATCAAGCACTCCCCGACGGGGCTTCACCGGCACAGCGCCCCCGCTAAACTCCTCGCTACACAGCTCCAGTTATTGGACTGTGAAAGTGACGCATCTTCATTGGAGCCTCGCAATCCGTCGGATACTTCTGATCCCTCCTTGTCCTCGTCTAGCAGCCAGTGGTCCTATTCATCGCTCCAGCCCACGAGGGAAGACCAAGAAACTTCCCACAACCACCCCAACGGACCGTCAAATAAATGTGGAGGTAGCCGTTGCTCCACCCCGGGGTCTGTGTTCTTGGAAGATGATGAGGAGAGGCTAAATGGAACCACGGTTGAGCATCACCACCCTTGGGGCCGATCAGCGAGTGTCCCTGGGGAACCAACTGGATCGTCAATCAAGGGACAGTTGAGCTCAGACCAGATACTAGAGAGAGATTTCCAGCCTCTTAGTGCTGCTGCTAGTATGGATACTTTACTGGGAGAGCAGAGAGCAGTGGATAGAGGTAACATTGAGGAGAGTATAGTAGGAGAGGACATGAAGAGGTCCCCGTCGTCTAAGAACCATCGCAGGAACCGCCGTCGCAACGAGCGATTTGCGACCAACCTCCGTAATGAGATCCAGAGGAAAAAGGCCCAGCTTCAGAAGAGCCGGGGCCCAGGAGGGTTGCTCTGTAGTGGGGAAACTGTGAAGGAGGAGGACCTCAATGAGGAAGGGGACGACCAAGACCTGCCTGTCCAGGAAAGGATTACCAAAGTTGCATTCGCCCGACCTGTTAGTCCCCAAATAGATGCCATCACCACAGCACCGGTCGAGAAAGCAAGCGATGTTTTGCAGGCTCAGTCCACAAGCTACACTCAAGACAACAACCTATCCAGGTCCGTACAGATTCTGGACCCAGGAGTGCCACATTTTGGTGTTGGCGTCCGAGTGGTGGAGGAACCGGCTCCTGCTGGTAAAGCCCGTCGCTGGCGTTGGACCCCAGAGCACAAACTCCAACCGGAACCCGAATCGGAACGACGGTGTAGAATCTTGGATAAGGATCCGTTGGGACTCACAGGATCACGGCATGGGGTTTGTGCCTTCTCATCTTCATCCTCATCCTCATACACTCGCTCCTCTTCTCGGAAGGACGAGTCCGAAATCCTTCCGTTTGCCGATAGAATGAAGTTTTTCGAGGAGACGAGCAAGAGTGTTTCCGGGCTTAACATGTCGAGTCGGAGGCAGAAAAAACCCGTCCAACAATCGGAGCACCAGGGAGGGGAGATTGGTCAACACCCAACCCAGAGAAGATACTCCTACCAGGGGGGACTTCTGCAGGAAAGCGACCTCCTTTCAAACTCTGTGGAGGCAAGGAGGCTTTCTATGAGTACCAGCAGGGAGAGGCAGAAGGAGAAGGAGAGAGAACAAGCGAGGGAAAGGGAGGAGAGGGCAAGGGAACGAGGGAGGGAAGAGAGGCTGAGAGAAAGGGAGAGGGATTTAGAAATGGAGATGGCAAGGCTGAGGGAGAGGGAACGAGAGGAGAGGGTGAGACAGTGGGAAAGGGAACGAGAGAGGGAGCTTGAGTTGGAGAGGGAGAAGGACATAGAGAGGGCCAGAGAGCAGGAACGTCTCGAAAAAGAAAGAGAGGAAGAGCTGAAGAGGGAGAAGGAAAGGGAAGATGCTCAGCTCAGCTCACATCAGGAGTTATATGGCGTCAAAGACAGAAATCAAGACTTCCAACACATCTTCCAGCCAAAGCCTCAGACGTTCTCCCATAGCCAAACCCAGAATCAAGTCACTCGATCGGCTTTCCATCCCGTCAACACCCCATCCCAGCCAATGGAGAGCCAGCAACCACTTCAGCAGGGACACACAGCGAGGAGCTACACACCCACAGAGGTGAGAGTGCTTATTCAAACATGCATCAATGTATTCGCAAATTCTGTTTCCCCCCGTTGATCAAAGACACGTGCCGGTTTTTTTACGGGTCATGAAGGAGTCAGGGGTCGCCGGGGTTAGCTCTCTGTAGAGTTTGCTTTCCTGGGATCTGGATTATAAACTTGTCTCTGTCAGGTTTATGGACAAAAAGAGACAGAGAGTGATATGTGGCCTGAAAGAGTAGATGATAGAGATCTGGAGTGAGTTGAAGTTTTGGTCAGTTGCCATTTGGTCTTGAAATACATTCACTCAGAGGTGAGATACATATCACTTTATGATTTATTGAAATGTATTTGTTTTTCTAAATAAATTAGACGGTCCTGGTTGATAATTTGTGTATAGGGGTTGGTACGCTGTTGCCGGGCAGGATACATCTCCCTCCCATGCTTTTAACTCTTACTAGCATTTATATTTTCTGTCAATAACTTCGTTTAATTGTTAAATTGTTGAAACAAAGGGTGGCCTGCAACCAAACCATTATTGTCAACACATCTGATAATAGGGCTGCTCAATTAATCTTATTTTAACCGCGATTACGATTATGGCTTGCAACGATTACGAAAACAGAGTAATCGAAATAAAACGATTATTTTTTTATTATTATTATTACTTTTTTTTTTTTTTTATAATTCTTTTTTTTTTTCAGTTGAATTAAAGTTCAGGGTAATCAACCAATAGTAATTCTCCAATAAATTGATATTTTAAAAGTCAATGAATAATCGCATTTAATAATCGCAATTACAATTATTGACCCAAATAATCGAGATTATGATTTTTGCCATAATCGAGCAGCCCTATCTGATAAACAAATGTCTATAGTCGAGCCACTTTTGCATCACATTGAGACCTGAAAACCTCATTTTTAAGGCATCAATCTTGTTGGGACATAAACACGTTGTAATTAGAGCCATTAACAAGTATGTTTACAAGGCAAACCGATCGCCAGCAGCAGGTCTGCTGAGCTGAATAACAGCCTGTGACCCTGCAGCACCGAAACCAAGTAGCGCCTCCCAGAGAGAAAGATAAACTGTATAGCTTGCTGAAATCAGACTGTGGTTTGAGTCTGAGCTTAAATGACCACTGGAGACTGAAAACTATCTTTAAAACCAGAAAGGGTATTGAGTGGACACACTTGGACGGTGGAGTAGTAACTCGCTCCAAGTTCTCCGTGGTTGAACGGTTGGTTTGTAGTCGATCCTCGCATCCTGCATGCGGTCAGAGTCTGAAACTCTCATTGAAAATTCAAATAGCTCCTGGAGCTGAGTGAGATTGGGCAACAGCGGCGAACACTTGTGTCAGCGATAATAGCAGCGTTGGGTTACTTTGTCTACCACATATTTATTCGAGTGTCTTGGCGGGGGGTGCAGCCCTCGTTCTAAACGTTTGACTGTTCTGTGAACTTCAGCCCATTAGTAACCTTATCATGTGACCCCGAGCAAAGCTAAACTGACATTAGCCTTGGCCTCGATGCATCCAGCAGATATGTTGTGTTGTTTTCCTTTAACCCCCCCCCATGTTGTGATCCTTTTCAAATGAAAGGTTGTTGCTTTGATGGCACACAGATAACCCCATGCGTTGAATTCCTGTTTCATATCTGCAGCTGACAACGTCCAATATTGATAATGCTAACAGATGTAATCTAGATGGACGAAAGGGCTGTGATAAGACACATCGAAATACACTCATGCAAAATGAAACGCGTACATGTCATCTCTCACGTTACAATCCAAACACACAGTTCCCAATTTTGAGTAAAATTCAGTTCATTCGTGTTTGTTTTGGGAAGGAAACACCGTGTTAGAATATATAGAAGTGTAACTGGCTCCTTACATTATTATTCTTTGTGGTCTGTCACTCAATGGGCTCTTATTTTAGGAAATGCTTACATTTTTATTGTCAAAATGTGACTATTAGATTTTACTTATTTTTATTACACTTCATTTTCTTAAAGGAAAGTATTGAAAAAATTGTATACCCAATGCTCATTCAAAATGAAACACACAATTAAAAATCATGTATTAAATGTTCAATGTATGTTTTGTTAGTTATGCAATTGTTTTAAAGTTAAGCCAAAAAAAAAATCGAAACTATGCCATATTAAGGGTCTTTATTCCAAATATTCACTAATGGAAGCCAAAGGAAACTATACATTACAATATGCTCTTTTGAATCCCAAGAGACAATGGATTTAAATGCAGCGGGGGTGCATTCAGGCACTTGTGGTCTACACTTTATTATCACAAACTTATCAGTTGTTACCATTTAATGGATTTTATGATCTGTTGACAGAAAGTGACGGCCAAATATGTTAAATTCACATCGGTCCAACAAAAACACCATCTGAATGTTCAGATATACATTGCTGTGTGTGTGTGTGTGTGTGTGTGTGTGTGTGTGTGTGTGTGTGTGTGTGTGTGTGTGTGTGTGTGTGTGTGTGTGTGTGTGTGTGTGTGTGTGTGTGTGTGTGTGTGGCTGGCTATCTGCCGGCTGCAGTATCTCTGACCAGTGACGAGGGGGCAATGAGTTCGTTCAGCATTCCTCTGCTGGGCAATAGAGCTGCTGAATGCTTTGTGCAGACGTTTCCTGTATGTGGACGTAATGCGCTTTGTTTCTTAAATCAACATTCAGACCTACTCAATACCTGCTGTTTAATTATTAATCTACCCATTAAAGTGGATTTAGTGGTAACTTTTAGCAATTTATAAGGGAAGCTTTGTGTGAAAAGTAGTAATGTAACTACAGAACATTTCAACAGGTTTACAAAATTGAGTGCGAAACTTAATAGTTTACTGTTTGACAAAATAATCTTTAAACTGAGCAAACTATCTGCAGATGAAGACCTTGAGGAAGTTTGAACTGGATTCAGTTCATTCAAGTTACAAAGTGCTTAAAAAAACGTCAAAACCATTCAATTGCATTTCCCATAATTAGATAAATATACTTTAAAAAGTCTGTCATCTCCATTTTAATTGAAAATAAAGAACAAAATTCAACGCGAGACTGCATCAACGGCACAAAAATAATTTAAAAAAAGGCTTATTGGCTGACAGAAAAAAAAACAGACAACCAATTTGTAATTGATTCATGATCAATCATTCATTTAAAGATTTGATTTTTTTTTAGCAAAAATGTTAACTTGAATATGATGAAAATATATTTATTTGAGTTTTGGACCAATAGTGAGACAAAACATGCACTCATAGTGATCTGTATTGACATTTTATAACTTACTATGTTGCTTATCAAGAACATAAGTGGTAGATTAATTGATAGTGGAAATGAGACTAAGAATTCAAAACAATTGATAAAATACCTCCACCTTAATGAACCTCATCACCATTAAAGTGTCCAGACGGGTGGAGCAGCACGCCCACTTCCTCTCAGCCGGGACGTGTGCTGACCAACACTTTGCACCAGATTGATTCCTTCCTTCATTCCTACCGTGTTATTAACCGGCTTTTTAATGTCTTCCCCAGATGTATCCCGCCCGGCAACAGGAAGCGGCCAAGCTAAACAGGAAGTACAGCCTGACTGAGAGGTGAGCCACTTCCTGTCGCTGCCTCACACACACTCATATAAACAAGATCTTCTGAGTATTTCACATATTCCTTTCGACACACACTTCATCTCAGGTCGTCTGTGAGTGGGGTCTTTAGGTGGGGTCGCTCCATTGTGCATTGTGACGGAGGAAACCCCACTCAGTCATGCCTGGCTGTGATTTGACTATAATGAGCTCTAATCATCCATGCTTCAAAATGTGCCCATAATGATATGTGGTTGGATGGTGATTCCTGATAGAGAGAGGGGGGGGGGTTTAGGACATGCATGGCCTGTAAAGAGAGACCCCTACTCATATCTGACCCGAGAGAAACAGAAGGAATGCAAAGAGGACACATTTAATGTAATTTAACGACTGTTTTTGTTTCGTAACGTGGACAAGTGTAAAGGACAAACCCAAAATATATACAATGACAAATCATACACAGTCCCATTAAAACACATGACCTGAAAAGACATGTTTACATAATTACACGTTCAAAAAACTCCAAATCAGGACTGTGGTTTGTGGTATTTCCCTCCTGAATACAAATGAGGATGACCTGTTCCTTTAATGTTCTTTATTGCACCCCTTTACTCAAGTTTGCCGACAAGGAATCTTATATTTCAGTCACCCGAATCTCCATATGTTGTTGTTTTGTTGCGTAATATGGACATTAACTGCTGCATTAGACAATGTTTTTTTTCATTTCAAACCTTTATTTACCCAGGTGTATCCCATTGAGATCATTGATCTCTTTTTCAAGGGAGACCTGCTCAAGTAGGTTCCACATGAAACATAACAACAAAAAGGACATCATACAGCATCATTACAGGGATTACAATTGACAATAACTATCCACATGAGCAGGTACCGACAGCTTCCGATTGAGTAGCATCCAACCGAGCTTTAAAAACATTTAGTGGCACCAGATTGCTCAGAAATGGTAAAAGTACGAGTATAAAACAGTATAACTACAAATAGAAAAACAATTCCATAACAGTATGTTGCCAAGAAAACGTTACAGTCAACCTCACCTAAACAGTCCCAATAAAAAACTGAGTTTAAAAAAGTGTTAAATAATCGCTGAAGTGTAAAAACCTGGCTGTTTTTTCCACTTTACCAGACATACAAACAAACTATAATCTACGCCCACACATAGGTGCTTCTTTGTCTGTATGTTAAGTTATGCCCTCACTCTTCCACATGCATTAGTGAGTGGTTTGTCATTAAGGAAACACGTTAAGCCATCCCTTTAACTATTCATCTCTAAAAACTTGAATTATACTTTAAGTAAGAAAAATACATCTTGAGTTATTCAGAGTCTAACACTCAAGAGGTACAACTGTGGTTTGTGGTATCTCCCCTTGGCAGTGTCATAATGTTACTTCCCTCTGTATCTGTTTGTTGACATCGAAGTATGATTTGTAATGCCCTTCTCTCGCCAATATCTCCATATCCCAGGGACTACTCCAGACCTCCAGAGATCAACAGCCAGCTCCATCAGGGTCAGAGGAGCCACAGGTCGTCCGATGGAGAAGATCGTAACGGATTCTCCTTCCCACCTCCGTCGGCGCCTCTCTCTCTCCGAGGCCGAGCCATGTCCGAAAACGACCTCCGCTTCGACAGCAACAACCAACGCTGGTCGCCCTCCATTTCTGTGTCCGCCAGCCAGACGCTGAGCGAGGTGGAGGAGGGAGGAGGAGGAGGAGGAGGAGGAGGAGGAGGAGGAGTCATGGGAGGAGAAACTGCTAACACTTCACGGATGAACAGGAAGAAAACCCCGCCTCCACCGAGACCTCCACCCCCAAAATGGGAGCAGTTTCACCGCAGACGGGCGTCTAGCCACAGCCTTTTCCCCGCCTCTCCTCAATCCACCCCTTCATCTTTAGACCCCGCCCACTCCTCTTCTTCATGCATCCTTCCACCTCCTCCTCCAACCGATACGTCCAGACAGAGGTCCTTCAGTCTTCCTCCACAGAGGCAGGAAGTGTCCGAAAACTGCCCGAGATGCAACTGCAGCCAAACCCAGGCACTCTCATCCAATTTTTTCAGTCCCCAGACTCGTTTTTCAGTGTTTTATGATCTTTTCGATTAAGGCGTCTTTTTTCGCAGTCGTAAATCTCCTTTTTCAATAAGAAATTTTATTCAGCTTAAGACTCTGTTTTATAATGAGGCGCCCCTATTTACAGTTTAACTTCTTGTTCATTTTTAACACTCCTTTTTAAATTAAGACATTTTTTTCCAGTTTCGAGCACTTTTTAATTAAGACTACTTTTTTACATAAAAAGAAGCTCGTTCATTGAGTCTTAAGACCTTCTTTGTAATGTGAGCTATTGTCATTTGACCAGTTTAAACTCCTTTTTTTCACTTAAGAATCCTTTTTTCTAGTCCTAGACTTGTTTTCAGTTTATGATTCTTTTTGATTAATACTCTTTTTCAGTCGTAAAGGCTACTTTTTTCGTTGTAAAGTTCTTTTTCAGAATAAGAAATCTTTATTCAGTTTAAGACTCGCTTTGTGTTTACATTTTAAGCCTCTCTTTTATAATGAGACTCTGATTTACAGTTTAAACTCTTCTCTTCAGTTAAGATGTCTTTTTCAGTAAAAACTCTTGTTTTTTAGTTTTTTAGGGAGTTCTGTTTTTTCAAACGAGAGCATTTTTTCCAGTTCGGGACACTTTTTTCCGTTAAGACTACACTTCTTGATAAGAAAAAATCTTTATTCAGGTCTTAAGACTCTTTTTTTATGCAAGTGTGACCTATTAACAGCGTTAACTCTTTCACTAAGATTCTTTTTTCGAGTTTCAAGAAGACTTATTTTTCAATTGTTTGTTTCACAACTGGACTAAGAGGGAGACACCCTGCTTGTCGTCCATAAGACTAAGACTTCAATCACACACACGCCACCACGCACGACCCACGCACACACGACACAACACACACACCACAACACACACACACACCGCACCTCACACACCAGCACACCACACACACACACACACGCGCCTCACACACACACACCACAGCACACACACACACACGACACACACGCGGCACCTACACAACAGCACCGCAAATGGCAACATCTACTCGAGCAGCAGGGAGCGGGCGAGAGACCAGGTAGACACTTGGCAGGGAAGTAGACTCTGTGCCTCGACCCGTGAACCCGCCGGCTGCACGCCAGTTATGCTCTGCCGTCGGACCTCGCCGAGGCCCTCGCGGTACTCCCCTTGTTGTCAAATAAAATAAATGCGTGTCTATTTTGTGTGCTCGCCTCGCTATGCTTGCGTCTGTGCTCCAGGCATTTATGCACTAATCTTTTCATTTATTTGTTTCATTTACGTCAGTTAATGCACCCGTATTTCCCTCCGTCTTCCTTTTGTTTTTCCTGTATACCTTTGTACCAATGAGGTTTGGTTCGTTTATTGCTCCGGCTCACCTTGACCTCTGGGTCTACTAGCTTCTTCAAGTTTGTTCGACCCCCAATTGTCTGTTTCCTTATGTTTCCTTTAGTAAGTCTAGGTGGAAAACAACCGTAACTCCAAATTTGAAGAACGTAAAAATATCTTTATAAACAAAATTGGAAATACCTTAAGAATGAAAATTTATAAGAAGCAACTTATTATAAACCATATATTTTGTCTATGTCACCAATAAATAGAAAAAAACCATTATTATTCTAAAAAAAATCCCGACAGTTCAATTGCGAAAGTTATTACGTTTTTATAGAAATGCACCTAAGTTGCGTATAACGGAAAAAACAGGGAGCCGCAAAGTCGCGCCGACCAACTTTTATGTAGAAAGTGAATGTACCGTGACGAAAGAGTCTAGAGATGTTCGAACTTTATATGAGATTCCACGTAAATCTTGTCTGGTTTTTTTACACGCTAATTAAACGCTAATTTATACAAAATTAGCTGACTGTCGGGATCTATGAAAAATTCGAAATAACTCCATAACAAATGGAATAAAACTTACTGTATAAAGATAAAAAATAGAATGTAATGAGAAATGATTAATGCCATATCATCTTTAAAAAAACACATTGTAAATGTAAAAACGATAAAAACATAAATTAAGATTTGTTACAGTGGACAGTTCTGCTGGGTTAATGGACAACGGTAGTAACGTTCATAAGACTAAGACCTAGTACACAATGACCAGAAGTAGCCTTGACCTAAGGTTTCACATTACAATTACATGTTTATATCCCTGAACAGGAGAGACAGTAGTTCACCAGACCATTAAGTGTGTGCATGTGGACACTCTGGTGTGTGTGTGTTGTGTAGATATGTGTGTCTGTCGTGTAATTTGTGTTGTGAAATACTATTTTGAACCTGACTAGTCGCTGTCCACGTGACCGTGTTGTGTTTCCAATACCGTGGACTTTTTTCGGCTCCCTTGGAAAAATATCGATGGCTCCTTTATGTGTCAATCAGACATGTTAGTTTATAAATGACCTGACTCATCTAAGTAGTGAGTGTCGCGGGTGTGGCTGTTGTGTGTGAGACTGTAGTCGTGTCGTGTGACTGTATCTTTACACACAGAAGTGGTGGAGGTCGCTGTTGCTGTGTGCAGAACCTGTGTCCCTGCCTCGACGGACCTCAGAACACGTCCTCCACCTCGTAGTCCAACCACAATAGTGTCGCCGTCTCGCGTGTTTGTGTCGAGTGACGTACCCCAACAACAAAAGTCACAATTGATAAAAATATAATAAAGACATGATGTGTGTATAGACCTCTAGTGTGTGTGTGTGTACTGTGTGTGTGATGTGTGTGTAAGCTAACTCGCTGCACAATAGTGTAGATGTACAATGGAACTTAGAACAATGGTACAGGTCTGGTATTTGCGCTCGAAACAAGCAACACGAGGCCCGACTCCCGGAACTATCCAGAAGAGAGAGTGTGTAGAGTGTAGTCGACAGAGATGGGCTGAGGGGAGTGACAAAAACCCCCTTCTCGAGGAGGTCTGAGTCGGAGAGAGGAGGCGAGAGGAGGAGGTTGCACAGCTACAGGCAGAGGGTCGTGGCAGTGGCCGTCTCGCTTCGTGCCGTCGAGCGACCCACTAACCGAGCAGAATCCGGTCTTCGTGCAGGAGGCCGAGGACCTTCAGCAGCTACAGGCAGAGGTACCCTACAGGTCGAGACGCAGGTTCGAACACCCGCCCTGAACCCGAGTCCCACCAAGACTAAGCAAGGACCAAGCTTCTCTCTAGAAGACCGAGCTACGACACCTTCTCATCCTAAGTCCTTCCCCTTTGGTTCGGCTGCAATAGGTAGTTTCCACCTTCCCAACTCAGCGATACTTGAGACCCTCTACTCAAGAGAAGGTGAGACCGAGGTCCAGACTACAAACTCACCAAAAACTTCCGAAGTGACAATGAGACGGAGGAGTGCCCGACTACTAGTAGAGTCTATGGGAGTCCCTGTGTCTATCTGAAATAATTGTGTGTGAATAACTTTGACGCTGTGTATCTATTATTAATTTTTCTAATCCATAAATTAAATGAAACTTTTTAAGGTTAACCTCCACGACAAGATTTCTAGTTACCCTCCGACAAGTGCAACCGTAATTATCACTGAAAGTTTACGTATTTTATGTAGGTTATCATCTTCAAATGATGGCTCGAGTGACAAGCAATGCGAGAGAAAACCACCTTCACCTCCACCTCCAGCTCTCCTATTTTGGAGGGGGAGAGAGGACGACTCTTATGTGGGCGGGTAGTCCAGCACGAGAGTCTGACCCCTCTCCGGTGGCAGCCTTCGGGGAGGACCTCTTGTACCTTGACCGCCTCGATGCATTTTCAGGCCAGACTACGCCGTAAACTAACCTACCTCGCACCCTCTTCCGCACTAGGACGGAAACACGACCTAAGACCTACCTACCTTCGCACCTCTTACTCGCGGAGGACGCAACACGACCCTAAGACTAACCTACCCTCGGCACCCTCTTACTCGCGAGGACGCAAACACGACCTAAGACTACCCTACCTCGCCCCTCTTACTCGCGAGGAGGCACACATCGACCTAAGACTAACCTACTCCGGCACCCTCTTCCGCACTAGGACGCAAACACGACCTAAGACTAACCTACCTCGGACCCTCTTCCGCACGAGGGACGAAACACGACCTAAGACTAACCTACCTCGCACCCTCTTCCGCACGAGAACACAAACCACG